CTCCGGCAGCTCGCTGACGGGAACGCCCGGGGCAGCCGTGGTCCAGGGCTGCTAGATGGGGGAGCTGCATCTTGGGGATGAATTGCCCGATTAATTAGGAATTGCAGTGCTGCTGGTGCAGGACTCAAACTGCCGTGTGAATCCCCTGGGGCAGGTGACAGCTGACCTGCCTGCCCAGGCAGGTTTCTCTGAGCCAAAACCCAGCGGAGGGGAACCATCCACGTGACACTGGCTGGGGCAGGGGTCTCCGTGAGAGCACCGGTGCCTCCCCCCGCGACGCGGGGCCGGCTCTGCCTGAGCTGCTTCGCGTGAGCTCCGCGGATTCGTCCCGGGCCATTAAATATTAACCACGGCCTGGCTCCGTATCTCAGCAGCTCTCTCTCCCCTCGGGGTTATGTCGCCCATGAATCATTCACGCCTCTCCTGCATTAAACCCAAGCTGGGCCATGGCGCCTTTTACGTTCCCAGCCTGGGATTTTTCCCGGCACGTCATGGGGGGCAAAGACTGAGCAGGGGCACCTGCCAGGCGGGAGCACGGGGCAATCACCTCCTGTAGCTTGGGAGGGCACGAGTCCCACGGGGGCAGGCCCCGGCTCCCTGCCCCAGAGCAAAGCCCCACTTTGCAGCGAAAGGGGGGTCCTGGGGGTTGGCTTAGCCTCTGCACAGGGCTGGGAGGCCTGGATCTGGTCGCCAGTTCAGGACTCTGCCCAAGGCAGAGGGCCGCTGCAATCCTCATCAGCCTTTCCCTGAGGTGCTGGGATGGAGCTACTGCAGCCATGGGTATGTGTGTGTATGCACACACGCACACTTGTGTGTATGACTACAGATGCATGCACGTGCATGTGCATGTGCATGTTCACGTGTGCGTGTACATGCATGTAGGTCTATGCATGCACATGTGTGCATACACACACCTGCATGTGCACACACATCCAGTGGTGTGTGCAGGTGTGCATGCATTGGTATGTGAGTGCATTGGCGTGTGCACGCAGTGGCATGTGCAAGTGTGTGTGCAATGGCGTGTGCAGGTATGTGTCCAATGGCATATGCATACGTGCGGGCATTGGTGTGTGTGTGTGCAGTCGCATGTGCATGTGTGCGTGCATTGAGGGTGCAGGCGTGTGTGCGGTGGCATGTGTATGTGTGCGTGCATTGAGGGTGCAGGTGTGTGTGCGGTGGCATGTGTATGTGTGCATGTGTTGGCATGCACATGCATGCATGCAGTGGCATGTGCATATATGCATGTTGGTGTGTGCCATGTGCACACATGTATGTGCATGTTCCTGCCACAATTTGAGGCATCCTTTGAGCAGGCGTCCTGGCCGGGGGACCTGGGTGCAGGCTGCCAGGCGCTGGCGCGGCAGGGGAGAAGCCTTTGGAAGGAGGCAGTTGCTTTCAGTCCAGAGCACGTTTCTGCTCCCCACCAGCCCAGGCGTTCCTGCCCCTGCTCACATCTGATCCCTGCCAGCACCAGCCTCCCCCCCCTCCCCAGGCTGCAGAGCTCGGTCCTGATGCTCTGCAATTCAGAGGCGGGCAGCTTGTACTTGTACAGCACCTGGCACCACGATAGCTAGCACTGTCTGCTACAAACAGAGGCAAACAAGCCAGGCAGGAGAGGCTGAGTGGTGATGGCGGGTACCCTGCCGTGTCTTTAATGGAGATGCCCCTCCTTTGCCTGCAGTCACAGCTGCGCCCATTTTGTGCCAGCTTGCAGGGTGGTGGGGGAGATGCACACACGGTGCTCTCTCTGGGTCCCAGACTCTTATTCCTGGCTCGGGAAGTGGGTCCTGTGCCCGGTGCCAGCCAGGTGAATGGGCTGGAAGCCAAGGACACCTGGCAAGAGAGTGGCTTTTGTGCCCCATAACTGCATTTGGAGAGGAGGGAGCAGGCAGACTTGACTTTGGGCCAACAGGACCCCCGGCGAGGCTCAGGGCGGCTGGAGAGAGCTGCCCCAGCAATGCAGGGCCTGGGCACCAAGCCAGCCATGCACCGAGTTGTCCGGCCTCAGCCTTACCCAGGGGCCCAAGTCCTTGAAAACCAGACAGGATCAAGCCACAAAGACGGCTGAGACTCGAGCTGGGATCCTCGGTCTCACTATCGGCTGCATTTGCTGACATCCTGGGTGAGTTTTCGCACGGGGAAGCTCCCAGTCAGTTGCTTTGCAGGGCACGATCTGGGGCTGGATCCCTGCTCCGCTCCCAGCCTCGGGTTTCTCTTCCGACGGGTTCCCGGGGGCGAAGGCATCTTCTCCCCCAGCTGCTCCCATTGCAGGCTCCCTGCCCGTGCCCCAAGCTCTGGGCCACTCCTGCGGTAAAGATCCCATCCTTGTGGAAGGCAGGATCAGCCCCCGCCAGCTCCTGCTGCTTGTTGAGCTCATGGGACTCATCCATCCATCCCAGATCACTGGAGAAGGCCAACCCAGAAAGCCAAAAAAGGATCAACCCAAGCAGAGCCTTTGCCTACTTGGATGGAGCATGATGCTTTGGGCAGGCGGCTGTGCCTCAGCTATGTGTTTGTACAGCGCCTAGCACCCTGGGGCCTGGGCCTGGGCCTGGTTAGGGCAGGCAGGGGGCTGCTGCTGACTTGGATGTGACCACCCACACACGTGAGCCTGAGCGTGTCCTGGGCACTGAGGCACGAACCCCTGGTATGGAGCAGGGTGGAGGTAGATCCAGGCTAAGTGATGTGCCCCAGGCTGGTCAGGAAGTCTGTGGCAGAGCAAAGGATGCACGGCGGGGCGGGGTCCCTTCCAGTTTCAACGTCCCCATGATGGCCTGTCCCCGCCTACCCCACGGCCTGCGTGTGACCATGACTGTCCCCAGCCCCAGACAGACACGAGCACAACCTCTCCCCATCCCTCAGACCCTTCCTCCTGTCCTAATTGTCCAAGCATCCCTGATACGGCCCCACTGGGCTGCTGCTGGCTGGCACCAAAGCCTGGGTAGTGAGCGCGTTTCCCCATCCGCAGCCGGGCGGTGGTTAATGATTAGCTCCCTCTGCCCGGTGCCAGTGGCTCTGTGAAGGGCAGCTTGACACATGCTGCACGGGTTATCGCTGCAGTCGAAGCCGGAGGCCCGGAGTGTGCTTTCATCCCCCGCATGGGCTTTGGTGGGGTCCCGTCGCCCTAAGCGGGTGCTGACCTGTGGGGATCGAGGCCTCGGTAAGCGCAGGGAGCAGCTGCCAGCCTCGGGCACCCGAGGGGCTGCCATCAGCTCCATTTCTTTCCCCACTGGCTTTCCCCGGAGCTACAGGGATGGATGGACAGGGCGCTGGGGATGGACGCTGGGCTGTGCCAGTGCTCCTGCTGGGACCCAACCAGAGGGTTCTGGCTGGAGGGTCTTGCCCCTGCACTCAGGCTCAGCCCGATGCTACACTGGGGGCAGGAAGGGATTTCCCCCTATGGTCAGACTGGTCTGGACTGGCGGGTTTTGCCTTCCTCTGTAGCAGGGGCACGGCCTCTCCCTGTGGTGTCTGGGCTGCATATTAACAGCTTTTTACATCAGCAGGACATTGGCCTCCACTGCCCCCCTGCTTTCCCTGGGGCAGATTTCGGGTGCGATGCCTGATGCTGTGTCAGGGGTGACGGTCATTTTGCTCAGAGGCTGGGCATTGTCTGGGGCTGATCCTGCCTCAGGCAGGGGGTTGGACTGGATGCGACCCCTGCCAGCCCCACGGCTCTAGGATTATCCCTGCACTCGGGGGGGTACTGGGACCAGCCCAGGCAGGGTCGGGGTCCCATCAGGCTCCGGACCTGGAGCAGGGTAATGCAGCGGCTAATGAAGAGTGGCAGGAAAGGGTTAAGGGTCCCCAAAGTGGAGGCTGGCACCGTTGCAAAACCCCTGCCCCACTGGTGGTCCCACAGCTCTGAGCCTTGGGCAGGACACGTCTCCTCGGGTGCCTCAGTTTCCCCTGCTGCGCTGGGCTCTGGGGGCTGGGGCGGTCTCCTGCATGGAGGGGAAGAACGGCTGAGCACAGGGGGCCGCAGGGCTCGTGCGAACCTCCGGATTCGGACGGGGGCACCCGCCACCCAGGATCCTTCCCGGCTCCCGCAGGACCCTGGCGCTGCTAGAGCCGAGCTGTCGTGACCGGGGCAGCCCTGGGACCCCTGCACCCTGTTGGGAGCCGATTCCCTCGCACTGGGGCTGGCATCACCCCCCCGCTCTGGAGACACCCCGACATGTCAGAGGGTTTTGAAGCCTCCCCCAGAGGGGGATGGGACTGGGCTGGATCCTGGCACCAACCCTGCAGGGTCCTGGCTGGAGGGTCTTGCCTCTGCGCTCGGGCTCAGCCTGACGCTGCACTGGGGGCAGGAAGGGATTGTACCCCATGGTCAGACTGGTTTGGACTGGGGGCGTTTCCTTCCTCTGCAGCAGGGGCACGGCTTCGGCCTGGGGTCTCTGGAGCATCGTTTACAGCATCAGGCCGATGGCCGCCGCGGCCCCCCTGCTCCGGCTGCGGCAGGCTCAGGTGCAACGCCCGGTGCTGCATCGGGGGTGACAGTAGTTGTGCTCGGAAGCTGGACAATGGGTTTGTCTGAACGGGGCCAATCCTGTCTCCGACAAGGGGCTGGATCTGGAGCCGCGACTCTCCCTGCCTCTGCTCCCCGGGGCCTGGAGACTCGCCCGGCCGCCCACCCCGGCTCTCTCAGCTTGGCCTGCATCTGAGTGGGCCTCGCGCCTCCCCCAGCGCGGCCCTTCCCTTCCCTTCCCTTCCCTTCCCTCCGCCTTCTCCCCGGCCCTCTTTCATCCATCTTTCCCATCTCCCTCCTGCTGTATTTTGAACCAGGGCTATGGCCTGGGGATGCTTCTCCATTGACTTTCCCCCTCCGCCTGCTGCTTTCCTCCCTCCCTGCCCGCTTCCCCGCGCCCCCCGCCCCTGCTCTGGTCCCCCTGGCACTGCAGCCAGCGCTAGCACAGCCAGCGAGGAGGTGTGTCCACTGACATCACTGCAAAAAGCGTATAAAGCGTGCGGCAGTGCGGGAGCGGCAGGCAGCCCGGGGGAGCAGGGGGGACAGGAGGCCGCGGCTGTGCGCTCCAGCTCAGCCCGGGAGTCCAGGGCCCGGGGGGGAGAGGAGACGAGGCAGGCGGATGCGGGGAGCTGCCAAGCCAGCCCTTCCCTGGCCCCCTCAGCCCGCGGGGTGGGGCGCGTGAGCCTCCGCAGGCCACCCGCGGAGCTGGGACGTGGCGTGGTAAGACGCACACGCGTGTTGGGGGGCCCCGGGGTGCAGGCGGCGCTGGTGGCGGGGGAGGTTAGCCAAGGGGGGAGCTTTCGTGTGCATGTGCATGAGCGAGTATGTGTATCCACACGCGAACGTGCATATGGAAGCGCGTGCATGTGCATTTGTGCGTGCGTGCATGCATGAGCAAGTGCGTGTGTTCATGTGTGTGCGTGCGTGTCTAGGCGTGTGGGCAGGCATTTGCTTGCCTATGGAAACGTGTGCATGTGCATTTGGGCATGTATGTGTGTGTGTCCTCAAAGCCGGGGAAAGGCAGCCCTCCTCTCCCCCCCGCACAACCGCATGCCCACCCCCGCTTTCCCTTCGGCAAGCTAATTTCCGCTCCCCGGGGCTGGCGAGGAAGCTGGGCAGGGACCAGAGTCATCCTGGCTGGGCCTGAGCTGGGGGTGCCAGGAGCACCCCTCCGCCGGAGCCCTCCCCGCGGCTTTCTCGGTGCTCCCGGCTGCAATGGAGCCAGCCCGGAAAGGGGCAGAGGCCGGTGCCCAGCCCAGCCGGCAACCTGCCCGTCGGCTTCCCGGCCCCTCCTGCCAGCACCCCGGCTCTTGCCTGCTCCTGGGACCGGATGGAGCTGCTGAGCCCCTAACCCAGCTCCTCTCTTGCCCCCGCAGAGACGGGGAAGCCGAGACCTTCCTCTGCTCTCCGCACCCTCGATGCCAGACGAGTGAGGGTCCCGGCCCGGCCCCGCCAGCCATGGCCTCGCAGGACGGGCTGCAGTACCGGGCACTGTATGAGTACCAAAAGGCGCGGGACGAAGACCTGGCGCTGGCCCCCGGGGACCTGCTGACGGTGAGCGTGGCAGGGCTGCCCGAGGGGGACGAGCGGAGCCCCCAGGGCTGGCTCAGCGGCCTCAACGAGCGCACCAAGGAGCGCGGAGACTTCCCGGGCACCTATGTGGAGTACGTGGGGCCCGTCAGGGTCATGGCCATCGCCCCCAAAGCCAGGCCCCGGCCCGTGCCACCCGCCCCACCCGGGGCGCCTGCCGGCCAGCTTCGAGGTGAGTACCTTGGGGTTCGGAGGGAGGCACGGGCCAGCCTCGTGCAGAGGAGAAGAGCACTCCTGCCCCCCCCAACCTTGGCTCTTGGACCCCTCTTTAACCCAGGGCAGGATGCAGCCACACGGCACCATGGCTTTGAGCAGGGAGTGGAGTGGCCTGGGGGTCTCGCAGCAACCCCCTGCCCCAGGTGCCAAAGCAACACCCCCGGCCTTTCGGGGTGCAGGTCGTCGTGGCTCTGTCCTGCCGTTCCCCGCAGCGGGAGGTGCACACCCCGTGCTCTCTCCCCAAAATGCTCCACCTGCCCTTCCTTGCTCTGGTACTTGCAGAAGCTCCTCCATGCTTGCGGAGAGACCCAGCTGCGGTTGGGCACCGGGCATTTGCAAGGACCCACTTCCAGGCTGGCAGGCATAGAGAGCAGGGCTCTGGGTATTGGCAGAGATGGGCATGCAGAGAGGCCCTGGTTCGTGTGAGCAGGGTGAGGCTGGGTCAAGGGGCACCGCTCCCTTCCCAGCTGCCATCCAGGACCCGCCTGCCACGCTGGCCTGTCTCTGCTTGCGCCTGTAATATCAGTTCCCCCGTGCTGGGGCACAGCTTGATGCTGTACTAGATGCAATCGCCGGGTGCACGGAGCTTGAGTATTGAAGCCAGGAGCCTCCAGCGTCAGTGGGGAGAGAGGAGCAGGATGCAGCATTGCAATTTGTCCCTGGTTGGCTGATGCAAGATGGGGACAAGGGGGTCCTGACTTCCCCCTGCACACATGGCTGCTAAGTCTGCTGCACGGCATTGCCCTCCGCTGCTGCTGCAATGGCTCAGCTGTGTGTCACTGGCCCTATACTACCCGCAGGTCTCCCCTGAGTACAGGTGCCGAGAGGCTTTGCAACGGGAGCTGGGCGCGGAGAGATGGCATGCACCCAGCTGAAGTGTTGAGGGCAGGTAGCCTGGCACACGCTCATCCACCTGCTTCGTTAGGTGCCATGGCCTCTCATGGGCACCTGGGCAAAGGGGAGACCCTTCCCCCCCTGCTGCCATTGATCATGAGTCAGGAGAATCTCTGACCGCCGGCTGGGGAGACGGACGCAGCAGCTGGTGGAGGATGTCGGGTCATTTGTCGCCTGCTTCCAAACCAGGCACAGCCTCTGTCCTGTAGACGCAGCTCCACCTCTGTCACCTGCTCAGGCTCTGCCACTGTTGAATGAATGTGGGCAAAGAGGGGAAATGCTTTGCTTGAAAGGAGGCAAGTGGAGACTCTTCTCCAAGCATCCAATGTGATTCTCAACCGGGGTGACTCTGGGGTGCTGGGAGAGGCTCTGAAGAGTGCCGCGGGGGCCCAGCCAACCTAAGCACTGGTAGCAAACACCTATGTGGATTCACAAGAGCAACCCAGAGATTTTAAACAGGAATCCAGAGGGTCAAAACCTGCCGTGTCCTCCCGACACAAGACTTGCTCTAGCCTTTCGCCGCAGTCAAGAGATGAGCGAAAGCAAAGAGCTGGCATTGTCCGAGGTGGGGATCTGGGGTCTATGAAGGAGGGCCTTGGAGCCTGACAACGTTGAGGCCCGTTTGGTCTGGGCTGCCTGGATGAGAAGTTTCCCTCTCTGGGAAATGAAGAACAGCCTTGGTGGTGGCAGCGGCAATGGCCATGAGGAAGCCCATCTCCGTCTGGAGGAGCCATGTGGGTCCAGGATGGGGCAGCTCAGGGAGGATTTGTGGTGCGGCCCTCCCCTGTTCTGGGCAGAGAGAGTTAGCAGTGCAAAGCCCTCCCTGTTAGGGGTCAGCAACCCGCAGCCTGGCTCCAGCGACATCCTCCAGCCTGAAAAAACAGAGCACCGGGGCCTGGCACTGGGGCAGGGGGCCGGGTCAGCCTTCCTCCGGCCAGAGCTGCTCTGATTTGACCTGCGGCTCCCAAATATTGCCAACCCCTGGGCAAGGGCTTTTGTCACCATGACAGGTCGTACTGGTTGGAAATCCCAGCACAGAGCAACCCAAATGATCAGGGGTCGGGGGGCACGACTGATGAGGACGGGCTGGCAGAGCTGCAGTGGTTGGGTCTGGAGAAGAGGAGGCCAAGGGGGATTTAATAATGGCCTTCAACAACTTGGAAGGCGATTACAGAGAGGACGGAGATGGGGTTTTCACTGTGACCGCAGGGAGCCATGGCTTCAAGCTGCAGCAGGGGAAACTGAGGCTGGAGATTGGGAGGGACTTTCTGACTCTGAGGCGGGTCACGCACTGGACCAGGTACCTAGAGAGGTGGGGAGTCTCCATCCCGGGAAGTTTGCAAGAGCAGGCTGGACCGACCCATGGCTGGGATGGGTTAGTCGGGCTGATCCTGCCTGGAGTGGTGGGCTGCACTAGCTGTGACCTCCTGAGGCCCCTTCCAGCCTGAGTGTCCAAAGACCCTTTGAAGAGTTACGTAGAGCTTAGATTATGGTTTTCCGGGGATGGTTTGCAGGCACCGCTGCCAGCAGCCCCAGGGGTCCGGTCCCCTCCCCACAGCCTGTTGTGGAAAGCAAAGGGCAGGGAGTGCAGCAGCAGGACACATGTGGCAGGGGGGACAGGCCTCAACTGGGACTCAACAGAGCCTGGGGCCATTCCTGGCTCTGCCACTGGCATCCCCATGTGGCCTTGGTCATGTCACCTCGCCTCTCTGTCAAGCTGCAGCCACTCCGCTTCCTTCCTCCTGCCCAGCCCAGTCGTGGACACCTGGATGCACGCTCCCATGGATGCCGGTCCCCATCAGGAGCTCACAAGATAAACAGGACTGACGGGATCCCACCTCAAGCGTGGGCTCGGAGTCCGTGGTCTCCCTCCCAGCAGGGCTTCTGCTGAGTGCAAACGTGATGCTGAGGTCGCTGTCCCTGAGCCACAGCAGGACACGGACACGGCCCCGACCGTTGGAAAGCACGCAGACAGCTGAGGCTGCCAGGCCCCACGTCAGCATCTGGGAGCTCAGCGCTGTTGCTATTTAAACAGGGAGATAAGAGCAAGGCCGGCAACACGGGAGCGGCGGGGGGTTATATAGCGTCCCAACTACTGGAACTCTTCCT